CCTCAGCCTCCCAAGTAGCTGGGACCACAGGCGCCCGCCACAACCCTGGCTGTTTTTTTGGTTGCAACCGTCATTGTTGTTTTTGGTGGGTCTGGGCTGGATTCGAACCTGCTACCTTAGGTGTATGTGGCTGGTGCCTTAGCCGCTTGAGCCACAGGCGCCAAGCCTACCCTTTTTGATTTAAGCTTTGCAGTTTACCTTTCTCCTTCCCCAAGTTGGCTTTTTCTTTAAGTTCACTTAATTTTTTCTTGTGTATTCCTTCACTGAGGGTCTGGTCCTCTTCATCAGCAGAAATGTCCTCAGCAAAATTCAGTTGAGATATACTGCCTGCTAGACACCAAAGTGACACACGTCAGCTTCCTGAGGCCTGGGGACTCTGCCCCATTGCTCAGAGCTGGGACCCCCTCATTCAGGCACGACTTGAACCCACGACTCCTGCCTCCTCACCACCATTCCATGCTGTTTTTCCAACCCAAACCTGAGAGCAGCTGACACAGGCATCACTGACTTGAAGCTCTCCAGCTTTGGGTTTCTCACCAGGGCCAGGTGAGGTGGCTCCACCCGGGGGATGGCTAAAGCAGCAGCACCACAGTCCCCATGGCTCCTGGTGCTCTCCCAAGTCCCACAGCCCTGGTGCTCAAGGCACATAGGGGAGTGACCCCACTGACTCATTCAAGTGTGACCAAGCTTATAGCAATCTTCCCCTGGGGGACAACTGACCAAAACAACACATGAAGGGCACCCCAGGAGATCAGATATTTTCTTCATAAAGGATCAAATCAGAACCTTTCAAGAGCAGTAAAAAAGGAACAATAAAGACCAAACAAAAACAGTATACCATCACACATAACAGGTAATCTCCCCATTCCCCTGGCATTTACGGGGAGCTCAGGGTAGGAAAGTGGATGGACAACAGGAGGGCCCATGCCTGGGCACATGTAGGTGACGGCTACTATTTCTTTTCTTTTATTTTTGAGACAGAGTCTCACTTAGTCACCTTTGGTAGAGTGCCGTGGCATCACATCTCACAGCAACCTCCAACTCTTGGGCTCAAATGATTCTCTCACCTCCGCCTCCAGAGTAGCTGGGACTATAGGACCTGTCACAATGCCCGGCTATTTTTTGCAAGACAAGGTCTTGCTCTGGATCAGTCTGGTCTTGAACCCGTGAGCTCAGGCAACCCACCCAAGTGCTGGGATTATAGGCGTGAACCACCATGCTGGCCTAAAGGCTACTACTACTTCTTATGAGGTAAATGTCCTTCAATCCTCTTTCGGTATTTGGCATAACTGCCCTCAGTGAGGTCCATATTCATGTAAGAACATGATGGATTATAACCTTTCGACTTTCCTCACCTTCTGAGAGATCCTGGAATCTGAAAAACAAAACAATAAAAGTTTATTAAAAAAAATAAACCTTCCTTTTGTCTTCTACAGACATACACAAGCAACATTTAAATATTTGACTTAATATGGACTTAAGAACTTGCTTTCTTTCCCTCCAGGAGGGTAGGCAAGAGAGGGAATTCTGTGAAGGAAAGGTAGTATGATTCCAGAGCAGAAACCCAAGGACCAGACCTCCCCTGATGACTACCAGTGCCATCAAGGATATGATGGCCTGAAGGGTCTGATTCCAGAACAGAAACCCAAGGACAGGCCTCCCTTGATGACCACCAGTGCCATCAAGGATATAGTGGGCTGAAGGGTCTGATTCCAGAGCAGAAACCCAAGGACCAGACCTCCCCCGATGACTACCAGTGCCATCAAGGATATGATGGGCTGAAGGGTCTGATTCCAGAGCAGAAACCCAAGGACAGGCCTCCCTTGATGACCACCAGTGCCATCAAGGATATGGTGGGCTGAAGGGTCTGCCTTGCACACCCAGACAAAACCAGGAAATCGAATAGGAAGAAACAGCTTAGACCTTGGCCTACAATCAATTCTCCAGTGGAAAAAGGACAAGCAGCATTTGGCTTTACACAAGTCTGGTGCATGAGGACAGAGAGTAGGACATGCTGGGGTCTAGTGCCACCCCAGCACCTGACAGCAGTGTCCTCAGCCAGATGCCCCGTCCTGTGCTCTGCTAACCCAGCTATGAAGGAGGAATGAAGGAAGCTACCTTCTAGGGTTTTCTTGGAATACAACAAGTTAATGTCTAGGAAGCACTAAAGTAGTGACGAGCTCACAGTATGACCAGACAGGTGGTGTCTGCCACCAGCCACAACACACCAGGAGGCTCCATAGTGAAATGCATGCCACCACATCACTTTGGTCACGATGACACCACGACACCAACACCAACTACTGAAGTGACTAGCACTCGTGGCATAATGGTGCTGGGAGGTGAAGAAGGGGGACCAATGCCTATCTTAATAGCACACCAAATAGATTTACATCACAGTTTCTCAATCTGTTAATTTTAGACATTATTAGACTTCTCTCTTTTTTTTTTT